CTTACCAAGTCTTTGTCATCCTTCATCTTTGGGCAGACTTGGGACCATAGCTGGACCGAAGTTCCATGGCTAAGTCCTTCTTTGGTTCCCAGCTTAGGTGACCCCTTCCTAGCAAGTCATCCCTGTTCTGAACCAGGCTGAATCAGGTGCCTCTTTGGTGACCCCCCAACTCCCTGAGCAGTGTTCCAAGCATAGGGAATGATGAGTACAAAAGTCCTGTGGCAGGAACAAAGTTGCAGGGCTCAAGGGACAGAGATGGCCAAATGCTGTGAATGAGGAAGTGAGTGGTGCACATTGATATCAGAAAGTTAGACAGTGGCCATTAGATCATGGAGAGCATTACAGGTCAGAGTAGGGAGAAGGAACATTTTTCTAAATGTGGTGGGAGAAGCTATTGGAGAATTTTAAACAGGGAGATGCCATGATCTGATTTCTGTTTTTAGGCTATCACTGGCTAGTGTTGCAGAGTGGGTGATAGGAGGCAAACTAGGGGCAGGGACACAAGTCAGGAGTCTGTCGCAGTGGTCCAGTTGGGCAATGATGATGGTCTCGGCTGAGTGGAGGCAGCATTCCTGACTTCCACCTCTGGGTCTACCCAACAGTAGCCCCACCCTGGGCTGTCCCGACCTGTCTCAGACACACCCAATTCCTCTCCATCTGCCTTCCCGATTGTGCCACAGCACAAAGACCTTGCACTAGAAACTGGACCAAATGGGCGCAACCGTTCAGAGAAGGACTGTCAGAAGGTTATTGGAAAAGACAGTGATTTTCTCTGGGGAGAGGGGGTTTTTGTCATATTTGCTTACCCGGGATCTATTCCCCCCCTTTATCCTTTCGGGACCTACCTCTCCTTCCCACCCATTCTCAGTTCACGTGAGCAGGTGCAACAGATCCATCCCCCAGCTCAAGAGATGGCCAGGTGGCCCAGGTCCGGCAGTCAGTCCATCCCATCTTCTTGGCCACACTCACTGGTAAGGAGACAGGCATGAAATCTAGGCTGGCTCAATGTGACTCAGTCCCAGGACTGTGACAGAAATTTGGGGGACAAGAATCTCACTTTATAATGTGGTTACCAATCTGGTAGGATGTTAGCCTGGAGCTGCTGGAAGCCTCATTAAGAGTAGAGTAGTCTGAGGGTAGAGTAGTCTGAGGGTAGAGTAGTCTGAGGGTAGAGGCTTGGGCAGAGAAAAGCAGAAAGGTGGAGAGATGGATTCCTGATGCTATCCCTTCGAGCACCTGATCCAGCGGTGCCTGAAGCAAGTGCTCTGGAAATTTTTACGAGTCAACAAATTCTTTTATACCTAAGACAATTTGAATTTCTGACAGTTTCCTAAGGAGGTGGCAAATGCTCTGAGCATTTAAGAAGCAGCTGGGGGGCTTTTCTTTGGATCTTTGCTATGTAAGGAGTGGGAGGAAGCCCATCGATAATACCTAAAAGCTTATTGGAAATGCAGAGTCCTGACCTCGCCCCAGACCTATGAAATCAGAATCTGCATTTTGACAGGATCTCCTAGGTGATTTGTATGCACATCGCAGTTGGAGAAACAAGTCCCTGAAAATAATCCAAACTTCAATAGAACCAGATGACCTTTAAGAATCTTCCCACTCCTGGGCCCTCTGGCCGGTTTGTCTTTCCTCTGAGCTGCTGACAAGAAGAGCTGGGGACGAAGCACCTCGGTGTGGGGGACGAAGGGGGCAGAGCAGAAAGGACATCACCGTGGCCGTATTTGACAGGTGAGGTTCACATTTTGGATTTTCATTTCTTCTTTTTGTGCTTTAAATGCTTATGGCTTCGGGATGAAGGGCCAGGAAAGGTGTGGGAAGGAGAGAGGGGAGGAGAAGTAGCCAGAGAAAGAAGTGTCCCCAGGACGTGGCTTCCTTAACTGAACTTTTTGTCTGCTCTCCTGAGGGAAAAACACATTCTTTTTGGTGCTGCCCATAACAAAATCCCTGGCTGTCCTTTGCTGGGAGAGCAGACAGTGGAGGAAAGAGTGGCCTTCCCCCACTTCGGTGAGAGATGTGGGGAGGGATGGGTGGGGGAGGCTGGCTGTGTCCGCTCTGCTTGGCAGGTAGTAGGTGCTCACAAGGGACACAGCAACCAAAAGCAGCGTGTGATCCTGGACCAGATAGAAGTTGCCAGAAAGGGCATTACTGGAGAAATTCGATATGGACTGTAGGTTAGATGATAGTATTGTTAACTATGTGAAATTCCTTGAATTTGTTAAGGTCCTGTGGTTATGTAAGGGGATGTCTTTTTTCAGAGGAGATGTGATCATGTTTAAAGACAAACGGGGTTCAAATGTAAAATATAAGGCTTTTCCTTCCTTCCACGGTCTTTCTTTCAGCTGGTCGTGGTGTTTTTAAATTTGCTATGTAATGTCCTTCTGGGTACAGGAAAATTTAAAATCTAAATCTTCAGCATACATTTTATTTTATTTTTTTTAAAGATTTTATTCATTTATTTGACAGAGAGAGACACAGCGAGAGAGGGAACACAAGCAGGGGGAGCAGGAGAGGGAGAAGCAGGCCCCCCTCGGAGCAGGGAGTCCGATGAGGGGCTTAATCCCAGGACCCTGGGATCATGACCTGAGCTGAAGGCAGAGGCTTAAAGACTGAGTCACCCAGGCACTCCCAGCATACATTTTATTGTTCATCTTTATACTATGCAAATGCCACTATAAGAGCATTTAATTCATGTGTGAATTACACAATACGTATTTCAAAACTTATATGTGCACGTGCGTTCCGTTCTTTCCAGAACAGGAGAGACCCGCACAAAACTAAGTTGTTTTGATTTCACTTCTTGAGATGTGCACCTTGTGCCCATACTCACTACTCCCACTTTCTGATGCTCAGGGAGAGTATGGGGTTCGGTATCTTTCCTTTCCCTTCTAGGCCATCATTTTCAGTGTGAGTAGTTGGCTGGAATGCGGAACTCGAGTAAGAAAGCACTTAACAGGGTTCCTTGGGTGCCCAGTGTCTCTTAGAGCACCACAGACTGTTCCTGCATTGGAAGCAGGTTCTAAGAGTTGTGGCCTCTTGGAGCCCTGCTTCCCCGTGAAAACACCTCCCTTATGTAGCTCAGAGTCATTTTGTATTCACTCATTCCAGGACTTTTGGTAAACGCAGCTGTATCTTGCTGGATTTTTGAGCCCAAATCTCTCTCTCTCTGTTGGGGACAAAATAGTTTTGTGTGTATGTGTTGTTGTTCCAATGAAAGAGGCTATTGTGCCCCCACCCCAAAGAACTGAAGGTCTGACATCGTATATCATAGAACCTTTATTATTTTTCCTCTAAACTCTTAGAAACGTACATAACGCCCGTGCTCTAGTTATGACACCATTTATAGACATTTAAAATGCATCTTCATTTATAAATATTTTACATTTGGTCCATAGAACAGATAATTTTTCTAAATAATACTGTAATTTTTTTTAAAACAGGCTCTGTATATAGTTTGAATATGTATATATTACATATATTTTTTTATATAGAGATAGATTTACTTGGTGTTCTGAGAATAAATCCTTATTGCAAAAAAAGCATATATGATAATACAATATCTTTTCCCCCAGGGCAAATACTAAAAAAGGTACACATATTCACAGTTCTCACTGGAATTGTACGACACGTAATATTGTGCTATATTAAGTAGGTTTGGATGGAAATCGGTTAGGGGATTTCTTGCCAAACATCTCGATTAGATTTGCATACAAACATTAAGTACACTGCATTTGTCTTAGAAAGACGTGGTCTTAGTTTCACATGGAAGAACAAAGAGAAAGTCAGAAGTCTTCCTGCCCTTATTCTAGAGGAGTTCACACAGGATGTGGGGGTGGGACCATGAGACACAGTGAAGAGTTCCTTTCATTCTAACCCTATAATTTAACAGCACATATGCATTTTTGATCATGGATTCACCAGTTGGCATTAGGGATGCCTTAGCAATGAGACTATTTTACAGATGACCTCAGGAAAAGGTTTGAGATTTCCTACACGATATCAAATAAGACCCTATATACCACACGTGAGGATGAACGTATATGTGTGTGCCTTTATATGTGTACATGTACTTTATGTTTCTCTACAAGAATGTGCTTAATATTCTGAGGGTAATACCTTATTGCAAGAACGGGTATGCTGGTCACTGTCGGATGAGAATGACAAGAGATTAAAAAACCCACAGTCACAGTTATTTACCATAATTATTAAGGATTAGTTGTAAAACACAGTTTGTGAGCTAACTAGCTAAGGAGCTACGGGAACAACATACGATTTGCTACATGGGAAACCATCTTCCTGGCAAATGAGAAACGCTGAGTCACTGAAGCTTGCAAGAAACTGTCTGCCTAATCTGCCACCACCACCACCACTGCCACCACCACGGAGCCCAATTCCAGAAAGAAACAAATACTACTTCTTGATGAAGCAGTTTAATCTTGGAAGCACTTTGGGGGAGGGGGCGTGCAGGTGGTCTGGATTAACACTAGCTCCTCAGTTAGTGGGCTGGGGAGATTTTAGTGGCAGTGAGGGGGAGATTCCCGCTAAGGAATATGAACGAAGAAGGCAGCATTTTTGACTGGGGCGTCAGTGAGGACACAGCTGAAGGGGAAGCCGGAAAAAGAACTGCATCCATTTTGACTCAAGGACAGACAAACCTTCACCTTGATTTCCTCTGCACCTGATTTGTGCTCCATAAAACGGGGCAGCCTAAGAGAAACTGGAGCTCCTGATTAGGGAATTTCCCCAGTGGGATCTTAGGCCCCCAGAATGGCAATAAAAAAAAAAAAAATCAATTGTGCTTGTGGCAGTTTTCCAAGGAGGGAGTGAGGGAGCTGGGCTGTGTGGAATGATCCTATTGGGCCAGGGGCAATCAGCATGGCCTGGCTAGGAGGGGGCAGGGGAAGGACGCTCTGCAGATTGCTGGAGACGCAGCAGCAGCTTCGGGGAATACTGGTGGAGGTCCTTGGGGGTTGTTTTGTCAAGCTGCCTCGGGAAAGATAAACAAAAATAACAACAACAACAAAAAATGAAAGTCAGAGCTCCGCGGGCTCCCTGCTACTTAAGAGTGAGCTCTCCCTGGAAATCCCCATTATACAGAATGCCCTTTTCATGTGTTCAGAGCAGCGTTCCGACGGAACCGAACTCCGGCAAAGTCTGAGATAAGAGTCATGAGTTTCGGCAGTAAGAGAACAGTCAGGAATATGACTAAAAGCCACGAGTGTGTGGCCTCACCGCATCACACTCGCTGGCAGGATAAAAATGATCTATCGCACAGTCACAGAGGCTGATTGCTTGATGCTTATGGGGCCCGGATTCAAAAGGTCACCAGCGCGCAGGTGCTGGAGCCATCGGGTATCTTTGCCCAGGGCGGAGCCCACCGGGGGTGACTGTCCCCCACCTCCCCTCTCTTTGCATGGTGATGGTGTCTGGACTCGCCACTCGAGGTAGGTTGAGATCGACGGTATCTTCAGACATCAAGTGGTGGTCATGTTCAGCCAGGTTGGGGGGTGAGAGTGTCGGGTCGGCAAGCCGCCAGACACCCCTAGATGTAGGCCTCTTTGCTGGCTGAGCCGCTGGCCTGGGGCTGCTCCGGACCGTTCTCTGGGCGAACGATGTCTTCGCTGGGCTGGATCATGACCTGGATGCGCTGTTGGGCACCAGGGAGAATCTGGGCTGGGCGGAGGGAGACTGGCCGCTCCGTTCCCCCACCTCTTTTCAGGTCTATCCTGCCTGTTCTGCCTTCAAAATGCACCCAGATTCTGGCCTCGTCCCCACATCCTCCACACTCTCTGGCCCCCTCACTGCTCCTCACACATGTCAAACATGCACCTGCCTCAGGGCATTTGCACTTGCTGTGCCCTCTGAGACATCCTTCTTTTCAGATAATTACACAGCTGGATCTCGCTCAAGACCTCCTTAGGTCTTGGCTCAGTGTTACCTTCTCAACAAGGCCTCACTCAGCACTCCCTAAAACCCCTTTCTACTCTATTTTTCTCCAAGGTACTCAGCCCTATGTAACATGTTTTTATTTTGTCAATTGTTGGTCTTCCTCTACTAGAATATAAGCCCCAAAAGGGTGGGATTTTTGCCTATTTTTCTCACGACTGTGTCTCTATTACTGAGAATACTGTCTGGCACATAGTAGGTATTCAGTACTATTTCCTGAATGGATGAATTTCCCCCTACCTTCTCTACACATATTCCCTGAAATCCTATCCCTTCAGATCACGCACTGTCTTCAGATGTGTCCACTCCTGAGTCTTTGCACAGGCTGTGCTCCCCTCCTCAAATACACGGCCTTTGCCTCTCCTCCACTCCCAGACCTGACTTGACTGCCTTTTGCAGCTCAGCAGAGGATTGTGGAAAATGAAAGCATTGGGCCTGGAGCTGGAAGAAGGGGCTGCAAGCGTCAGCTCTCCTAATAACTTATTGCAAGGGGTGGGGAAGTGGTTTCTCGCTTGACCTCAGTTTCTGAAAGGAGGAGGCTGGTCCAGGGGCTACACATGACCCCCCCACCATGTTTTCCTTAGGCCACGGACCACAGAGCTCCCTCTTCTGGCTCTGATTGGTCTGGAAGGCCCATCTTAGTAGAAATAAGGTTGAGAACCACTGATCCAAGGCCTCCCAGCTGTGGCCCTCCATATTCTGATTGTCCACCTCTCCCCAGTGAAATCTTCTCAGCATACACTTGATCCATCAATGTCGCTAGCACCTGGGTACCTCCAGCACTGCCTTGTTTCACTTGAGAATTCGATAATAATTTAACAAAGAGCTGGTGTGGACCTAGAATATGCTAGTGGGCCTCTGCTGAGGGCAGCATGCCTTACATTATATTTCCTTGAGGGCAAGACCACATTTCATCTTTATTAAGCCCACAAAAGGGGTCTAGAGTAAGCCCACAATACAATGGACCCAACCCTTCACCTGTTTCAAATCCCTGAGGCTCCACATTACCCTCCAGATAAAGTTAAGAGTTCTTGTCCTAATTTTCAAGGCCCTCCATGATCTGGCCTGACTTTCTTACATCCCCAACCTCATCTCTTATCACCCCTTCTACAGCCTTCTCCACTCTACCCTCCAGCCACAATGATCTCCTTTCAGTTCACCAAATGCTATTCATACCCCTGGGCCTTTGCGCCTGCTTCCCATCCCCTTCTAGGAACATTCTTTCTGCTTCTACTTTTAACTCTGGCTCATCTTTAGACTTCTTCCTAGCTATCCCCTCTTTTAAGAAGCCTTCCTTAACTCTCCTCAACCCAGGCAGGGCTAACCGATCTCTCTGGTTTACCCGAATCATGGCACTTCCAACATTCTGTTGCCATTGGATATTGAGTTGTCTGTTTCCTAACTAGACTGTGAGCTCCACAAGGTAGGGGCCATGCCCAGCACAGCAGAGGAAGGGGACCAGCAATCTGAAGGGGGAAGAAGGGACTTACCTGCTTCAGGGAGCCCTTTAAGGTGAGGAACATGTAGGCCATGTACCCAGGGATGAGGACCATGGAAGACAGAGCCATGAGCCAGCCCACGCCCTGGCCCCACTTGGGGAAAATGTAGTTTCCCATGGTGAGAGGAGTCATCTGCACAGCACTGAAAATGAACACACCCTGGGGAGGGGGGAGGGGGATGGGACACAGTCAGTCCCCCAGATTGGACAACCAAGGCCCCTTCCTAGACCCTGAAGCTGATAGGTCCACTCACCACCTCCCTTGCCGTGAGGCTGACCCTCAAAAGGGCTCTTGTGGGGGCCAACTAGCTGGATGATGCTGGCAGGGTGAGCCTGGGTCCCTCAGCGGTCAAATGGGGGCAAGAATGCCTATTCTGCTGAGGTTTTCGAAGATGATGTAATGTGTCTGGTGTCATGGGGGGCACAGAGTAGATGCTCAGCAAGTGGGATGGAGTAGTATTATTAGGGAATGGGCGCCTTTGCCTCCAGAAGTTTCTCTCTGGGCCTGAGTCACCCCAGGGACTGGCCTGGCCTCATCCTAACAGGGCTGGTCAGGACTTATCCTTACCGCTACAATGATTGGGGTGAAGAAGGACCAGCAGAGTTTCCACCAGATGCAGGGCCTGGAGCCAACCATCTCTTGGATGTTGTCATAGAATCGGTTAACACCTGTGACATTCAGAGTGAGAGCAGGAGGGATGAATGAGCTGTGGGCACTGCAGGCTCCAAGGCTCAATCTGCCACTTTTGGGCAGTGTGACCACAGGCAAGTTACCTGGCCTCTAGGAGCTTCAGCCTTTTTGTAACATGGGGCTAAAGCTCTGGGGGGTCCTTGTTATCTAAGCATCAATAACCCCCAGCAAGTGGGTTGTGTGAGAAAGCCAGGCACCTCACATGAAAATAGCCACCAACAAAGGGTTGTGCTCATAAAGGATGTCCTCACCTCTCTCAGTGTCCCTTCCACCCAACAGCTAGCCTAGCCATTCCTTCAAAGCTCTGTTGGACAGAGCGCGTTTCCCCACTGCTCTGATGCTATAAGCAACCGGTGACAGACTGCAAAGAACACCAAATCTTGCAAAACACCACAGGCGTCATGAAGTTCCCCAGACTGACATTAGGCATCACTCAGATTCTGAGCAAAGCCCCTGACCAGCGAGGAAGCCAGTTGGGGGAGAAGGGGGCTGACAAGGAGTGGGTGGCGAAGAAAGTACAGTGAATATCAAGACTTAGAGGGACCCAGGAAAACACTTCGAACACACTGTCTCGCTGGGATAGTCAAAGTGCAGGGAAGGACAACCTTTTGGCTATCATGCAGAGGGGTCTGGAACCTCAGGCCACAAAATAAACAAACAAAACCATCATTTCCTCCAGGTTTTGTTCTAAGGGAGTGCATGCTTTTTATCATAGCCCCACTTTTGTTAAATATTTCACTTTAGAACTTTTTCTTTTGTAGTTTTGGTGTCACTTTTCTAGATAAAATCTCAAACCCTCTTATCCCAAAATTTAGGACGAAATTTTGGCTCCCATTTTAAATGGATTTATTTAACCCGTCTTAAGGTGTCCCCTAAATACAAGACCCCCTGTGCTAGCTTTATCAGATTTCTGTGAGGACTGAATACAGTTGACCCTTGAACAATGTGGCAGCTAGGGGCTCTGACTCCCCCACCCCCACGCAGTCAAAAATCCACATATAACTTCTGACTCTCCAAAAACTTAACCACCAATAGCCTACTGCTGACTGGAAGCCTTACCCATACCAAACAATTGATTAATACCTATTTCGTATGTTCTATGTATTTATATACTGTGTCTTGCAATAAAGTCAGCTAGAGAAAAGAAATGTTATCAACAAAATCTTAAGGAAGAGAAAATACATTTACAGTACTGTACTGTATCAAAATGAGTATCAAAAAATACCATATTGTATTTATACACAGAACAAGTAGGCTGTGCTGTTCCAACCCGGGTCGTTCAAGGGTCAACTGTCAACTAATGTATAGGAAGGGCTTGGTGTTCAAGCTGTATGTGTTGAATGATGATTGAAGAAAGGAATGAATGAATGAATGAATGGATGAATGAATGAATGAGGGAGGGAAGGAGGAAGGAGGGTTGACACTCACCGTAAAACCAGGAAATGGAGACACATTCGAAGAACACGAGGAACAGCAGGCTCATGCCGCTTGCAGAGTAGTAATCAAACAGTTTGAAGACATAGATGCCCCCCTAAAAGAGGAAAAGCTGTGAGAGGGGGTCCACTTCCCACCAGCGCCCAGGGCACGCAGTTCACAGCCAACGTGGGCTCTGCAGTCTGGCGAGGTAGGCGTGAGACAACACTGCAGCGAGGAGGCTTGAGGGAAGATTACAAGAAGTATGGAGGGCCTAGTAAGTGGTGAGGGTGTGCTCATCGACTCCCTGGGAATTGGTAAGAAGATGTCCGGGGAAGAGAAATGCTCCGTGTCTGGGAATGCTGGAGGACGGAGAGAGGAGCTGGTCATCAGAGCCATCTCTCCACAAAGTTAAATCAGTTATGTCTCTCCCCTGCTTAAAACCTTCCATGGCTCTCAACATCAAAAAGTTGAGAGAATAAAATAAAATTAAATTAAATTAAAAAAACAAATAAAAAACAAAATCCAAGTGGCTTTGGCTCATAAGTTCCTGCATGAACTGGTTCTGTCCCCCTTACCTATCGGCTCACTCCTTCTGCCCCTCAAACTTACCAAGCTCATGCATACCTCAGGGCCTTTGCACCTGCTACGCTCATTTTCCCCTGGCTGTCTCTTCCTCATCATTTGAGTCTCAGCTCAAGTGCCACTTCCTCAGAGGGCCCTCTCCTGACTACTCTGTCTGAGGTAGCATCCTTCCTACCCTCACTAGTCATTCCCTGTCCCACTACTGTCTTTTCTTCATGGCGCTGAACACTCTCTGAAATGATTTAGTTTGTCTGTCAGTCTTGTCCACCAAAGCATAAGCTCTAAGAGAGCAGATACTGTGTCTGTCCCGTTAACTGCTGAATTTCCAGGATCATGACAGGCCCATGGTGAATGTTTTAACAGCCATGGAGGAATGAAAGGACAAATGAACAATACTCTGGGAACGAACTGTATTTGAATCCAGGGGGTAGTTGTGTGGATCATAAAGCAGACCCACAGACCCACTGAGTTCACGGCTTTCAGGTCATTTATATTTATTGTACAATTCACTAGTTTATGTGTATGCCTTCTGACTAGACCGGGAGGGCCTTGAATGCAGAGAGGACTGCTCATTATTATCTAGAGTAAAAGAAAAGTGGGAGCAAGAAGGAGGGGCAGGGCCAATGCCAAAGGCCCAACTCCAGCTCGACTGTCTAACTAATTGGTGTGCATTTTTAAAAACTCAGTCCCTGCATCCCCTCCTCCCGGAAGCAGTCCCGGGTGCCCCAGGCTGAGTTAGGGGCTGTATTCTCCAGCTGTGTCTTATCTTTTCTAGCTCAGTGTCCGTGTCTCCCACCCTCCCACACTGAGGACAGGGTCCCCATCTGCCTCACGGCTGTGTGTGCAAGGGCTTGGCACAGAGATGGTGCTCAAGGAACAGACAAAGGGTGGGATGGCAGGAGGCTGGGGTGGAGAGGTGTGCCTGGCCACCAGAGGTGTGCCCGGTGCCCGGTGAGCTCACCTGGGTGATGTTGGAGAGGCCGATCAGGTAGGAGACGATGCAGACAGCCGCAATGAAGAGCTCCCTGCGGTTGCGGAGGAGCCTGGGGTACTCATCCACCAGGGCCGTGATAAAGCCCTCCACGGTGCAGAACTTCAAGGGGGACGAAGATCAGCTACGTGCGGCAGACTCCAGCCCCAACCCACCCAGGGCCTGACTCTGGGGCAAGACCAAAGGGCTCTGGCACTGTCGGGACAGCAGAGCCAAGGAAGCCCCAGGATCCAGGCCTGATTCTGCCTCTGCCTCTCTCTGTGACCTCAGGAGAGCCCCTTCCCTCTGGACATCAGTTTCCCCATCTGGAAAATGGGGAAGGCGGCTGAGCTGATCCACCCTGAAGTCTCTCCTGTGGTGGAACAGTCTAGGGGTCTGAAACTCTGCCCTCTTCCTGGGGGCCTAAGCCAATGGCCAATGGCCTCCTCTCCCTTCTTGCTCCCAGACCGACAAGGCTGGGTGTCCTCACCTGGCTGTCAATGCCCAGCATCAGCAGCATCGAGAAGAAGAGGATGGCCCAGAGGGGAGAGATGGGGAGCTGGGTCACCGCCTCTGGGTACGCCAGGAACGCCAATCCAGGGCCTGTGGAGGGAAGGCCAAAACAGAAAGAGAAAAGGTACTGAGCACCTGCAGCGTACCAGCTCACCACCCACTCTCTAAGCTGTATTGCATTTCACCTTCGGAGTAAACTTTCGGGTGAGTGTTGTCAGCACCCCCTTTCCTAGATGAAGATACAGAATGTGCGTGGGTGGGGGAGGCAGTAGGGTTGGGGCCAGGGGCCAGGGTACCAGCGAGATGAAAGGAAGGACTGCGGTGGTTTGGTCCGTGGTGGGTGCAGGTGCAGAGAGGTGGCCAGATGGAGAGATACTTAGGAGGTACTCCTTAGGAGTACGTCTCTACTTAGGAGGAGAGATACTTAGGAGGATACGGGCAGGTCCTGATACTGGTCGGTTTATGGAGTGAAGGTGAAGGAAGCGTCCAGAATGATGCTGGGGCTGTCCTGGGTACGAGATGGGGTCACCCTTTGCTGCAGTGGGGAGCCCAGGGAAGGAGAAGGTTTAAAGAAGTCAGTTTGGGACATACTGTGTTTGAGTGTCTGGGTAGGGGTTAGTCAAGAGATGAAGGGAAACCTTGAAAGGTGAAGGAAAGAAATTGTAACCTCCCTGGGTCTGGCTCAGGAAAGGGTGGTGGTGGCCGGGGAATGCCAGAGAAACGAGCTGGCCCTTGTAGAGAAGATGAGGACATCAGTGGAGGAAGTTCCTTTCCACATGACCAGCACAGTTCTCCATGATGGGGAAGGGACAAGTCCCATTGCCTCCCCAAGCCCCAGGGCCTCTGCTGTGCACATAGTGGGTCCCTCATGTTCGCTGCTTTCCCCACTGAGCAGGGAGGCAGGGGTTGCCTGGGGCTTTCCTCGGACCCTGCAGCACTGATGACCGTGTGGTGAGCAGAGTGGGTACAGCCTGCTTGGTGAGAACATGTTTGGGACAAAAGCAAAGATTTAGGCACTTTGTGTCACGGTGGTGAGCATGTCTGAGTTGGAACAAGGTTTATATTCCAGGGGACAAGAGTCGGTCTTCTCCCTGCCAAAGGCAGGATTGTGCTGGAAGTGCCAGTATGGTCAGGTGATTAAGAGCCCAAGCTTTTTGATCAGCCAGGTCTGTGCTCAACTCCAGTTCCATCACCTCTCTAGCTTGGTGAACATGGTCCATGAGCCTCAGTTTCCTCACCTAGTAAATGGAATAAGAAAGCATGGACTCCATAGTGTTGGAAAGTTTCACCTAAAATGCTTCCTGCTCTGCCTGGCACCTCGTGATGCTCAGTGCCAGGGAGCCAACACACCACACTCATCCCTGTCTCAAGGCCTTTCTACTGGCTCTTCCTTCTGCCTGCACGCTCATCCTCTGGCTCCCGCTGGTGATGGAGGTAATGACCACAGATGCCCACGTGTCACAGATGCCCCCTCCCACCCCGGGAGCCCTGGCCCTTCCACGTGTGGCGCTGACCTGAGGCCGCCACATCAGCAATGGACCTCTTGGTGACATGGGCCATGAAGCCCACGATGGAGAAAATGACAAATCCCGCGAACATACTGGTGCAGGAATTGATACAGCAGACAATGATGGAGTCCCTGCAGAGAAGAAAGGGTGGACTCAGCGAGGGTGAGGCTGGCAAGGAGATGAGCTCGGAGCAGTGGTTAGCGAGGGACAACGGGCGGGGGCAGAAGAGGGTGCCTGGGAGCAGAGCTGCAGGGCAGGTGCCCCCACCCCATCCCAGGGAGGGGGGAACCGGAAGGAGTGGCCCGGAACTGACTTGGAATGGAGTTGAAAGTGGAGAAAGGCCACGGGGCGTGGTCTATAAGGGAGTGGCCGCGTGTGGGCGTGGCGTTGGCGTGGCGTGGCCCGGAAGGAAGGGGCTCCTGGGCTCTCACCTGTAGACATTGTTGTGGAAAGAGTTATAGCTCCCAAGAGCGATCAGGGATCCCAGGCCCAGTCCGTAGGAGAAGAAGATCTGGGTTGCCGCATCCAGCCACACCTATAGGTAGAATGAACAAAAAATAGTCAAAATTATAATCACAGCCACAGTGCCCCAGGGCCCTTTACATGTGGTAATCAGCTGTACCTGGCAACCGTATCAGTTTACGTATGAGGTTAGAGAGGTACGGTGACTTATCCTAAAGCTGGTAACTGGTGGCTCAGGTCGCAGGTGTGCTCTTAACTCAGCCGCTGGAGGCGGGGAGCCCAGGAAGGCCACTCACCTCAGAGTCAGACAGCTTGCGGAAGTTGGGTGTGATGTAGAAGAGGATGCCCTCCTTGGCCCCAGGCAGCGTAACTCCACGGAAGAACAGGATGATCAGCATGATGTACGGGTAAGTGGCAGAGAAGTAAACCACCTGGGAGGAAAATCGGCACCGATGCCCCCTGCAGCGCTCCCATTCTTTCCCTCCCCCCACTTCACTTACATCAGTGTCTGTTGTGGCCCTGGGCTTACTTCCAGTTCATCTTCCTCCAGGAAGCCTTCCCTGGATTCCTAACCAACTGTGTTTGTCCACTTTTTTGAAGCCTCTCCTTGGAGTCTTAACCAACCAGGTCAGCACCTGGTTTTTCCTTTCCCCTACCCCTCCTTTATTTTTTGACTTTTGTCTAAACTGTTCAAGTGAAACAGGGTGTGAGGAAAATTTTAAAGTTACACACACACACACACACACACACACTTAAAGTTCCCTTCAATTGCCCCTAGAATTTAAGTTAGGTAAGGGGAGGGCTTGTCTTGTTCACTTCTGTTTTCCCAGCACCTAGAACAATCCACGGTTTATAGGAGACACTGGATAAATGCCTAATACATAAATGCATGGATGTTAACACATTAATGTTCCTCTTTGGAGACTGGGCAATGCATGTTTGTACAAAATCATGCTCCAATTATGTGCTTGCTTTTTCATTTAACATGTCTAAAATTAAAAAAAAAGCAGTGCCTACTTTGTTTACTAACCATTGTTTTATTGTCTCATAACAATGTGATTTTTAATTATGCAAAATAGTCCCTCAGGAGGTTCTACCATCCTCTTTAAAGTCTCCCCTACTGTTATCCATTCATGTGAATCTCACTAATAATACACTGGAAACCCCTGTGTATAAAACTTTGTCTACAAAATTATTATATCATTCTCAGGAAAATTTTCTAGAAGTAGAATTACTGACTAAAAAGGGATAAAATTCTCAATGGCTTGTGATCCATATTTCCCAATTACCTTCCAGAAACGGAACTTTATCCAGCATTTCAGAGCATACCTTCCCCACAAAGGTACCAGCACTGATATAATCATTAAAAATATATTTTTTTTGCCAAATTGATAATCAAAAGACTGATGTCATTGTCTGATATGACATTTCTTTGCCCGCTGTTGTGAAAGAGCAGTTTTCAAGCCAATAACCTTTGTTATCTCACAGTCTGATGTGACCCTATTTTCTGGACAGCATGAACTGTTCTCTGGGTGAGTTTCATTTCCCTGAATGGGCATCTTAGATTCTTCAGGGTTAGGAAAGGTAGCCATGATCCACCAGAAAACCCACTGTACTTGGAATTAGGAAAAGGGAATTTGAAGCCATCTGTGGCATCTATAAGCTGTACGATGTTGGGTCAATTTCTTATCCTCCCTGAGCCTTGACTTTTCTGGTCTGGAAAATAGGTACAATCAACCTGCCGACTCAGAAAGGTCAGTTGTATGTATGTATACAACATGCTTAATATATGTGGCCTAGGTCTTGCACTTGAATCTGCCTTCCACATTTAGCATGGAGCCAGGTACACACTAGGTGCTCAGTAAATGTTTACTGATGGCTTGGCCGACTTACTCAAAAGACAACTGATACCATGTATTGTCTACCTACTAGATGCTAGGCATATGCTACATACTCTGCATAGATTATTCTCCTTAGTCTTTATGACAACCCTGTAAGGTACTATTATTGTACCCATTTAACAGATGAGGAGATGGAGACACAGAGAGGTGAAATGACTTGCCCAAGCACACATAGCTAGGTATCGGGAGATTGAGATTTAAGCTCAGCTCTATCTCTTCCAGAACCCTTAGGCCTTACATTCTTCTGCTTCTTAAAGTTGGGCTGGGAGACACCTGTGCCCTCCTCCTGCATGCTTAACCTAGGGATGCATCAGAGAGGTTTTGACACCGGCTTTGGATCTGAGAACGGGTAGGTCCAAAGGTCCCACCAGACTGGAATTGGGCAGTTTTTCATCAGCCATACTCATGTCCAAGTATGGAATTCGTGAAGGTTCTGTTTTGCTCACGTCAGCTTGGGTAGTCCAGACCTCCTTGCTCCAGCATGATTCAGTTCAAATCCCTTTTCTCCCTTACTTGCTCTTAGAACTCAGACAGGTTTCCTCTAAGTTACCTTCAGGCCAGGGTCCAGTGAGAGCCTGGGCTATCTTCTATCCCTGGACCCCTGGGGCGGGGCTTTAAGGGGAAAAGTGTGGGAGTAAGGCCAGTCCCCTTCCCAACTTGATTGGCAAGCTCCCCAGATGTCCTCAGGCTGGGCCCCCCCAGCTTGACCTGGCTCTGCCCTTGCTGATAATAAAAACAAAAACAAGTACAATTCCACTTGGTAACTGCTGAGGGCTTTACAAAATCACCATCCCATTTGATTCTCCTGACAAACCAACAGATAAGCCCCATTTTTTAGAGGAGGAAACTGAGTTTCAGAGAGGTGAAGTGATCTGCCTGATGCCACGTAGCCAAGTCAACAGCCGAGTTGGGATCCGAACTCAGGACTATTTCAGTACAAAGGCTATTTAACCATTCATTGATCCATCTCTGTTTCTCCTCCAAGGCTGGGATGTGGAATGTTCATCTCTGGATCACCCTAGAACAAGGCTTGGTACAGTGGAAATGCTCAGGGACAGACAGTTTGCTCAGTGGTCCTTGAGCAAAGTTTACCATCTGTTTTGTGATGGCTCTGTGTAACTAACTTACATTATCATATTCCATCCTCACACTGCCCAGAAGGTAGGTAATGTTATTATTCCCATTTTATAGGAAAGAAAACCAAGGCAGGGAGAGATGCAGGGACCTGCTGTTCTCTAGGTTCGGTGGGGTTCCTGGAAGTGCAGACTCCTGTGTGGGGCGGAAATCCCCTTGTAGACCCATCCCCTTCTGGTCCCCACTGTGCACATGCCTTACCTTTCCAGTCCAGCCAACACCCTTCCAGATACAGAAATACACAAGGATCCAGGCGATGGCCAGGGTGATGGCCAGAGGCCAGCGGATCTGTCCTGGCTTATCCAGCCCGTCTGTCATCTGATGCATGTTCCGCCTGGTGGAACAGTGGAGGGAGGGAGCAGAAAGTCACATGGGGCTGGTGGGAGCTGGAGTGGCCTGGGGGTGCCCAGGGAATGATACCTCCACCGTGACTGTGCTGACATCTGTGATCACTGAGACACAGGAGCTGGCAGGAGACTGTGGGGTCCATTATACTAACCGGTAGAAAGTGCTGTTTGCTCAAGGGACCTGCTGGTGCCTTATTTTGGCCACGATTATTGCTCACCTGTTTGGCTGCAGTACCTCCTAGCAGGACCCTCACCTTCACTTTTGCTTTATCCCTACTCCAGCCCCAGGGACCCTTCTAAATTATATGTCTGATCGTGTCACCCTCCTGCTTAAAACCCTGCAGTGAATAGCTCCCTGCTGTCCTCGGAATGAAGCCCAACCACCCCAGGCCCACCTTGCAAGGCCCTCTGAGCTGGCCCTGCTTCTCTCTCCAGTCTCAGCTCATCCCCTCACCCATGCCTGGCTTGCTCTCACCTGCCTCCAAGCCTTCATGCATTCTCTTCCTCCTGCTGACACCTGTCTCTCCCACATGGTTTTCACCTTAGATGTCACTCCTCCCCTGGGCTCGTCCGGGTACCAACTTGGGGCCCCTATCCCCTCCTCTTAGCACTGGTCATCTGGCGTTGCCACTCTGCCTGTTTGCTTATGTTTGCCATGTCTCTAACCAGACTGCACATAGTAGGTGCTCAAGAAATGTTTATTGATTAAATGGTTCGAGGCAATCCTAAAGGTGTGTGAGAGAATTCTATGTGGCAGATGCTGGAAAGAAGAAGCAGCCGGAGAAGAATCTGATTTTTATTTGTAAGGAGACTGCCTAGCCAAGGACATTCCTGCACAAAGAGACTCGCATCATGTGTTCTGATGCCTCCTGCGCACAGTTCCTCCTGGCAGCTTATGCAAGGTGCAGTGGAAGCTTCCAGGGTGCTCCCAGACCCTTTTAAGCTGCCCAGCACAGATGCCTCCTTCATGCCAGAGAGACTTGGATCCTAAGACCTCTTTTTGTAAAATCAATACCCCAACGCACATCTATGATGTGCTCTTCTGAAGATCCAATCAGCGCAGCCTTCGCTATGAACCGTGTGTGTGTGTGTGTGTGTGTGTGTGTGTGTGTGTGCGCGCGCGTGCGCACCTTTATTCCAAACAACTCTGGGTTTCTAAGTAGACTGGACTGGTTTGTTTTCCAGATGAGCTGGGATTTTGTTGGCCTGTGCTGGCGATCCTTCTTGGCCTGTGCTGGTTACCCCTCTCCAGAGGTGCACCGTCTACCCCTGTCCACCCTGCTCCATGCCTAGGAGGCTGGCGGCTGGCACTACCTCCCTGGCTCCCTGGCCCTCTGGCTTCTAACTAGGTCTGACCAACAGCAGGAGCCACTGGGCAGGAGGAGTGAGAAGGCAGGAATGCATTCTCTCCAGCTTGTGCCTAGTGGCCCTTTCCACGGCCCAGCTCTCTACGGGGGAGGAGAGGGTTTCACTCTCTCTTGTTTCTTCCTTAGCCCTGTGCACCGCACCAGCTCCCATCATCCTTTTGAGGGTGCCTCTGTCTCCTGCTGGCCCTGGCTGACAGGCACCCCCCACCACTGACGGCCCCACACTTACTCCCAGAACTCGACCACGGCACTGGTCATGTTGGTGGTGTTGACGATGCTGTAGTTGGAGAAGCAGCGGTCCGTGTTCCAGGGGTTGTCACACTGTTTCCACGGCAGCGTCTGCAAAGGCACAGGGGCACAGACAAGCCCTGTTGAGCCCTCAGGGGATGGCAACAGTGGTCCCAGGGCGCTTTGTCCATCCTCACGGTCCCCTGCGCCTCTTTCAAGCCATCCGTGATCTCATGGCCCCTTCCCAACAGCTCCCAGATGCAGGTCATGTTGAGATGCCCATTGTGGAGATCAGAGAGGGGCAGCCACTTGCTCGAGATCACACAGCTCCTAAGTGTCAGAACTGAAATGTGAACCTTGATCGTTTCACTCTGAGAACCAGCTTCCCAAGCTGTGCCATAAGGTCTCGTGTGTTTGTCCCAGGGCCACTTCCCAGCTCTGTGACCTCGGGTAAGAGATCTTGCCTGTTTGACCCTCTGCACACTGATGTTAACAGTGAGCACTGAACAGTGCTTGTTCTTTGCAAGGTACAGTGCTAAGTAAGCCCTTTACACATATTTACTCCTTAATCCTCACAACAACTCTATGAGGCCCGTTTCATTTTTACTTTCATTTTATTAATAAGGGCACTGTGGCTCAGGGAGGTTAAGCCTCTTTCCCAAAGTTGCACAGCTGGTATATACTGGGGTCAAGATTTGAACCCAGGCAGTCCGAGTCCATATGAAATGCGCTAACAACAGCCCCCGTGAGAGGGCGTGTCAGGAGGATTAGATATCAGCCTACACGAAGCACCTGGCTCAGTGGCAGGCCCGGAGCAGGTGCTTGGTTCATGGTGCTGTGACTTGTGGGGAGACAGGGGCTGCTGAAGACACACCATGTCCCCGATCCCCGCCCAACCTCCACCAACCCAAGGAACAGCCCTATCAGCAGAATGGTAGTCCAGCAGAAGGACGGTGGGCTCTGGGTCTGGCTCCTTCTGGAGGGGGTCAAAGGGGCCACTCACTGTGGTGAAGGAATTGTACAAGTAGTAGATGGCCCAGGAGATGATAACGATGTAGTAGATGTTCAGCCAGAATGACAGCACGGCAGCGGCAAGGCCCACACCTGGGAGCAGGCACGGCATCATGATATTGGTCTAAGAGAGCAGTAATAATAACTATCCCAGGGAGCGTCATTCTTATCATTTTCCATGATGTCCACCAGCTCACTGGACCTTGGAGACAGGTGTTATGGAGGCACTGAGGCTAAGAGAGAGGGAGGAACTTATCTAAGGTCACACACATCTGGCAAGGGAGGACTTGGGTCTGGGGCCCAGCACTGGCTGGTTGCAGGTGGGGCGGGGGTCTTGGCTTGCCAGGCAAGAATAATTCTCCATGTATCCATCTGAGGGTCTGTCAGGCACTGAGCAAGGAAGCAAAGAAAGTCGTACCCGGCCCTGGCTGGGGAAATGAACTCACAGGACAAGGCAGGCTGATGTGTACGGGGTCTCTGGATTGGGGCCTTCTGTCCACCTCTGCTGCCCTAGATCCTAGCCAGGGCTGCCATCTGCCACCTGGCCCCCCCGAGGGTTCTACTCTGCTCAGAAGTGAACCAAGCATGTCCCTCTCTCCGGTGGGGCCGAGAGTGTCAGGAAGGCCCTGGTTTCATCATAGTTCTGTGGGCAGGAGCACTGCCACTCTGCAGACTTACCCTTGAACATGGGGGCCAGCTTCCACACCCCCAGGCCCCCGATGGACGTGTACTGGCCCAGGGAGCACTCCAGCAGGAAGAGTGGGACCCCCGCAAAGATGAGTGTCAGGAAGTAGGGGATCAGGAAGGCCCCTGTGGGGTTGAGAAGAGAGATGCTCATGGTCCCAAGGCTTTGGAGAAGCCCCATTCAGAGGGAGCACCATGGCAGGGCGTTCTGGGGGTCCCAGCCATAATTTCCCTACACTCTGCCTTCAAAGTAGCACCCACAGCCAAAATGAGGTCCAAGGATGTCCTTTGCTCAAACTACGTCCCTTGTTCTTTGCAAAATGATGAGGTGAAATTTTGGTATCATTAACAAAGGACAATTGTCCTTTGGGAATCTTTTGGTAAAGGGACAAAGACAGGAAACGGGGCCAGGTCTTTAGGGGGCCCCTTCCCCTAAGGTAGCCCCAGAAAATGCCCAAGTGTGACACTCTTCAAGGGGTCCAGACACAGCTGGGAGGTTGCCTGGCCAGCACCTACCACCACCGTTTTTGCCGCAGAGATAGGGGAATCTCCAGACGTTGCCCAGGCCAATGGCGTAGCCCACACAGGACATGAGGAAGTCAAAGCGGCCCTTCCATGTGTCCCGGTCCGGAAGGTCCGCCGCCTTCTTCTGCACCTTGACCACCAGAGTTTTGGGCTTGTCATTGGCCACGGGGGCCTCGCTGACCTCCGTGGAGATCTGCCCATCAGCCATCTTGCTGCCATTGGTCGCCATGTCTCGGAGTTTGGACACAGAGGTCCTGGCAGATGGACGTGTGATGTCGGCCCCGGTCCACGCAGACAGCAGGTTTGCGGCTCAAGGTCACCCTAGGAGAACAGAGGGGTGGGGTGACAGGCACGGAAGGGTGGCCAAATCCTGGAGTTGCCCCAAAATAACAAAAATAAAAGGACCACAAACAAACTAGGGGCCAGAGAAGGCTCTCTCATCAGCTGTCTTTCTCCTGGAGGAAGGATGGTGCCTTCTGTTTCCAGACTTGTGTGTGGGGGATGTGGTGGGTTGATAGCTCCTGAACTAGCTTCAAACCTGCAAATCTGTGTCATGTGCCCTCTCTTAAGTGTCTTGCTCAGAGAAGAAAACTGAGGAGACCAAATTTCCAGACAGAAATATTAAGTGTTCTTCATCTTTGCCTCTTGGAGTGCAATTAGATTTTTCATACCCTGAGGCCATAGTAACCATGGCCACTATAAGCCATGGAAGGGCTTATCGTGGGACCAACAGGGCAGTGACCCGGCTACAGGTGGTAGATGAGCACAGACTCTAATCATGATCGAAGTCCTCTTTCACATTTGAGCTGTGACTTTGAGAAAACTTCTTAACCTCTCTGGGCCCTGCTCTCCCTATCTTTTTTTTTTTTTTTTTTAAGATTTTATTTATGGAAGAAGGAGAGAAGGAGGGAGAAGCAGACTCCCTGCTGAGCAGGGAGCCGCATGCAGGGCTTGATCCTGGGACGCCAGGATCATGACCTGAGCTGAAGGCAGAGGCTTAACTCTCCCCCTTTTTTTTTTTTTAAAGATTTTATTTATTTATTTGACAGAGAGACACAGCGAGAGAGGGAACACAAGCAGGGGTAGTGGGGGAGGGAGAAGCAGGCTTCCCGCTGAGTAGGGAGCCTGATGTGGGGCTCGATCCCAGGACCCTGGGGTCACGACCTGAGCCGAAGGCAGCCGCTTAAGGACTGAGCCACCCAGGCGCCCCTAACTCTCCCTATCTTTTAAAGTGAGTATGATAATAGTACATCACGTTGTTGTTCTTCACTTATTCAGCGAGGATTCTGTGCCCAGCAAATGGTGGGGACTTGTTACTATTTTGTCAGCAGTCCCGAAGCCTGGCGTGCTTCCAAGTTGTTTGCAAAGCTCTATAACGATAGAGCCCCAGGTCCCACATCAGAATCCCAAGGAGATGAGTCCTGAATCTATGCATTTAACAAATTCTGCAAAAGGAGACCCTTATGCTGGGAGCCAGTCCCAGCCCTCAGCTGAAGAAGGACCACTGGTTTACATGACCTCTCTGAACCAAGATATTTCACCTACACTTTGTACTCTGCTTGCCTCTTTGGTTCCAGAGGCGCATGGAGTAGAGAACTGTGTATGACATTGGATGCAGCCCAGCCCTGGTCTTCAAATCTCCAGTCTGCCTTGTACAAGCTGAGTGACCCTAAGTCCTACTCTTGATTGTTCTCGCCTCAGTTTTTCCATCTATAAAATGGCAGTAATCTTATCTGGCTTGTCGAACTGGGGCAAAAATAAGCTTTCATGGCTGTACGGGTATTCTTCACCTGACTGGTTTAGAAAGAGAATTCCACACACGGTTGTGATCATTTTGGTTGTGGATGTTACCTGATGATTTTCAGCTCCAGAGCAGCCCCCTCTGCCACTCCTGGGTGCAAGCCTGCAAAGCAGAGATGAGGAGGGACCTCAGTGAGCTGGCAGGTGGTGGCTAACGGGCAGCCCTGGGCAGAGAGCAGCAGGGGAGCAGGAAGCCCATGGGAGCCCCCAGCCGGGTGACCACATGAGTCCATGCCAGGTGGTTCTAGGAACATGCTAGAGGGGGCCCTCTCAGTTCAGCTGTGTGGGTGGGCATGAAGGCAATGCGAGGACAGCATTCTATCATTTTATCAGAAGGAAAAGAGAACCCAACAGAGGGGCAAAAGCCCCTCAGGGCCCAACTGGGAGCCAACAAAGGCAGCTGAGATTTTTCTCCATCCCCTAACCAAACATGCAGAAATGTTGTAAAAGGCCATGTAAGCAAACCTCAAAATAATTTATTTAGTATGATCCTATTTTTGCCCACATCCCCAATCTATTCATTAAAAAAAAAAAAAAAACCCTCCAAAACCCTAAGGATATATCTTAAGGCATTCACAGTGATTAGTCTATATGTGACTTTTGTTTCCTTTTTTTGCACTTTTCTGGATTTTTATAATTTCTAAATTTCTACAAAAGATTTATATTAATCAAATAACACAGAATAAACTTATGGAACCCTCAGAGCAAACAGGACTGTGTGAAACAACGGTCTGGGTACTCTGAGATGTAGGAGCAGAGCCAAAGTAGTGTGTGGCCCCAAATGGCCTCCTCCTTCAGCTCGGCCCCACTGGGGGAACCCTGATTGCTGTGCACGCGCCTTCCAACCCCTCATCACCAAACACCACTGTCTCTGCCTAGAGTTCACAGAAAACCAGACTACCTCCGGACAATCCAAACCTTAACTGCCAACCCTGTTTCTTGTTCTTCAAGATGACCCACAGGTCACCTGGATGTCCATCTGGTTCCTGACTTGGGTCTGGCACCATCAGAAGGAACTCCAGATAGGGTAGGAAGGTAGGGTGACCTCCCATCATCAGGGATGATAGCCCATCTTGTGGTCTACCAGGAAGTCTTGGGATATGTAGGGGAGACAGCAGCCTTAGGAAAGGGTGTGTGGGGGTGGGGGTGGTTAGCCATTAACTGTCAAATCAGTGATGACCTTAACTATCCCCATGACCTACCCTTGTGGGCTCCAGCCACCATGTTTGTTCAAAAGGATCCAATCACCTTGGACCAGGGCTGATCACCTGACTCTGGCTAGTCAATCAAAGCTCCTTCCCTGGGAATTTGGCATGAGGCTGAGAAAGAAGGCCAGCCTGTCCAGGGAATTGGGAACTCTCAGGCAGCTCTCTTCTGCCCACCTGTACTCAGAGGAGCAGGGAGAGTCGGTCTGCTGAGGAGGAAAGAAATTAGAGGTCAAAAGATGGACAGTCTTGAAAGCATTTGTCTTTGCCATTCCAGGCTTTCTTAAGATTGGCTACATTCCAATGCTCAGAGTTTACAAAGATAGCATCCCCACCGTGGTAAAATAAAATTCTCTGTTTTTGCTCACGTTGGTGCAGGGGATGCCTGCTAAAGTCTTGAATCTCTATTCTCTTACCACTTGACTAAGTTCTCAGGAAGGCTAGTAGCCCTATGGAAACAACAATTTCTGGCCCCCGCGCTGGATATACTTGTTGCTTATCCGTGGAGACTCAAACCAAACGCCAAAATCTACTGTGCACTGGACCTCCGACTGCCCCACACCACGCAGGGAGAGACAGACGGACAGACAGCCAGGTGCAGCTCTGGCTCACTCCCAGCAAGCAGGCGAGATGGTAGGGCGTGTTTAAGGGGGTGAGACGTGGTGTGTGTGTCCTTTGAAGAAACCATTCAACATCAACACAGAGGAGAGGTGGAAGGTCGGGAGGAGGGAGAGTTCCACCCCCTCCCTGAGCACATTTAGCATCCCCCTCGTGCAGGGGCTAGAGAGATCAGAGACCACGGCTGCTTGAAGAGCTCAGCATGAGGAAGGCACATGCGCTATCTTCGGAATACGGGAAAGATTCGGGCAGGTGCCTGTAACCGCCCTCTGAAGAGCCACAGAACCAGATGGAGCTTTCCTTTCAGAAGATAAAAATGTGAAGGTAACATTATAAGGCCGCCAGCTCATACAACTGGTGCTCCCCTGGGGATTCCTACGGAGAAGCCCCCTGGGTTGCAAGGCAGTGAGAAGGTGCTACATCAGAGAACTTGGCTCCCCTTGAGATTTACTAGCGCTGGGCATGTTCCTCCCCCTTTGGATGCTCATGTGTAAAATGGGGAAATAATAATAATCTTTCATTCACACGGTTGCGGTGAAGGATAAATGAGATCATGCACGTAGAGCATTGTGCGAGAACACCTGGCTCAGAGCGAGGGCTCGGGGCATCCTCATCCTGATGACTGCCAGCTGTGTACGGATCGTGGTTCCTAACCTGGGAGGCACAGCGGTGATGACACCATTATGACTAACAGCAGCTAACGTTTATCGAGGGCTTATTAGCCAGGCCCTCCAGAGACTTGCAGCATTTTCAGAAGACCGATGGAAATTGTCCTTTTAGCCTCCATGGGGGAAAACTAGCTAATAAAAATTTCAAATCTCCCCGCTTTGGGCTCTCTGTATACCATCCCCTTGGGCCAGGCAGAAGCTGGGAGTGGTACATTTGTGTGTTTGTCAATAAAATAAAGGATTATTCCATAATAAGTCAAGTCTGGCAGGAACAAAAGTCCGAAGCCTCTAGTAGATGGGACAAAAATGATCAAGGGATCCCCGTTAGTTAAAAGGCCTGGGACCCAGAGCTTACAGACAACACTTCCAGAAGCGGCCTTGCTCAAACACCTGAGGAGTAGCTGCTGACGAATTTTCATTCCCGACACCATCTGGTTAACCTGTTGCTTCCCTCTCTCACAAAAGAACAGCACATGGAAAGCACAGGCACGTGCAAGTGCCCAGCAAAGGAATCTGGCTATCTTTCTAGAAAATGAATGATTTTGGAAGCAGGAGCCCATGCTAGCCTTTCCTGGAGGCAGGATGTGCTCTGCTGGGCAGGGGCTGCCCTGGGTTGGAGGATGGCTCTGCGGACCCACAGCAGAAGGACCTTCTATCTCTCCACCCCCTCGACAGTGCGGCCCTCCTCTACCTGCTGGCCGAGTGGGTCAAAAGGAATGCCTCTCACCGCTTCATGATTTGAGGCATTTTTCCAAGGCCTTCTTCCAGAATCTTCCGGTTCTTCCTCGTCAGGTGACAATATGTGGCAGACCAAGGACCTGGCTACATGTTCCTCCGAGTCCTTTATCTTTCCCCATATTAACTGAATTCCACCGAAGCAACGTTCAAAAGGGCACAGTTCATGTGAGACCACAGTGACACATCCTCTGTATTCACTCACCTACT